CCACTAACCTGCAGGGCTACATCCACTGACCTGCAGGGCTCTAATGAGGAAAATGGCAGGGTCTGCATCCCTTCAGGCGTGATTTCCCTTTGGGAGTATCTCACCAAAAATGACATTTTTGTTGCAGGGGATGCCAAACACCCCAACTTATATCTTAGTGCAGACTTCAGAAAAAATTATTAAGCCAATCACACCAGCAGCAAATGACATTTTGGGGGGTGTTCTGTACGCCATCTGTGTACAGAATTTCTCCAGGTAGCCATATTGCATTTTACAGAAAATTACAGCAGTGCAGATTGAAAAGGAAATGTCATTTTTAATAACATTCAATTACAATATGACTTGTGTAGCGCCTGTATATGCTATATTAAAAGAAAAAAGTGGAGTTACCCTTTAAGTATGGTATTAAATCCCCCACCTATTCTACAATGCACACCCACCCACACGTGTCCAGCGACACATTTCTGACAACCATGTTGGGAATGAAGCTGGCTTGGGTCATGTGGGGCCCAGCAGGAAACCAGTTATACCAGATACAGCTGTCTACGTTTCCTATCAGGCAAACAGTGCCAATCAGGATTGGTGGGACCCCACAGTGGGCCCCTAGTGGTACAGCAACCCTTTGATGGCATTTTAACCACTTCCAGTCCCGACACTTTCACCCCCTTCCAGTCCGGACACTTTCACCCCCTTCCAGTCCGGACACTTTCACCCCCTTCCATTCCGGACACTTTCACCCCCTTCCAGTCCGGACACTTTCACCCCACCCCCTTCCAGTCCGGACACTTTCACCCCTTCCATTCCGGACACTTTCACCCCCTTCCAGTCCGGACACTTTCACCCCCTTTCAGTCCGGACACTTTCCCCTTTCCCCCCTTCCAGTCCGGACACTTTCCCCCCTTCCAGTCCAGACACTTTCATCCCCTTCCAGTCCGGACACTTTCCCCCCCCTTCCAGACACTCTTCCCCCCCTTCCAGTCCGGACACTTTCCCCCCTTCCAGTCCGGACACTTTCCCCCCTTTCCAGTCCGGACACACTCTCCCCCCTTCCAGTCCGGACACTTTCTCCCCCCCTTCCAGTCCGGACACTCTCCCCCCCTTCCAGTCCGGACACTCTCCCCCCCTTCCAGTCCGGACACTCTCCCCCCCTTCCAGTCCGGACACTCTCACCCCTCTTCCAGTCCGGACACTCTCCCCCCCCTTCCAGTCCGGACACTCTCCCCCCCTTCCAGTTCCGCACACTTTCCCCCCCTTCCAGTCCGCACACTTTCCCTTTCCCCCCCTTCCAGTCCGGACACTTTCACCCCCTTCCAGTCCGGACCACTTTCCCCCCCTTCCAGTCCGGACACTTTCCCCCCCTTCCAGTCCGGACACTTTCCCCCCCTTCCAGTCCGGACACTTTCACCCCCTTCCAGTCCGGACACTTTCCCCCCCTTCCAGTCCAGACACTTTCCCCCCCTTCCAGTCCGGACACTTTTCCATCCCCTTCCAGTCCCGACACTTTCCTTCCCCCCTTTCCAGTCTGGACACTTTCCCCCCCTTCCAGTCTGGACACTTTCCCCCCTTCCAGTCTGGACACTCTCACCCCCTTCCAGTCCGGACACTTTCTCCCCCCCTTCCAGTCCGGACACTCTCCCCCCCTTCCAGTCCGGACACTCCCCCCTTCCCCCCCTTCCAGTCCGGACACTCCCCCCTTCCCCTCCCCCCCTTCCAGTCCGGACACTCTCCCCCCCTTCCAGTCCGGACACTCTCCCCCCCTTCCAGTCCGGACACTTTCCCCCCCTTCCAGTCCGGACACTTTCACCCCCCTTCCAGTCCGGACACTTTCCCCCCCTTCCAGTCCGGACACTTTCACCCCCTTCCAGTCCGGACACTTTCACCACTCCTTCCAGTCCGGACACTTTCCCCCCCTTCCAGTCCGGACACTTTTATCCCCTTCCTGTCCAGGCCAATTTCCAGCTTTCAGTGCTATCACACTTTGAATGACAATTGTGCGGTCATGCAACACTGTACCCATATGAATTTTTTAAGCATTTTTTTGAGACAGATAAAGCTTTATTTTGGTGGTATTTATTCACTGCTGGGATTTTTATTTTTTTGCTATGTAAAAGAAAAAGTCCAAAAATTTTGAAAAAAGTGTTTTTCTTATAAAATTTTGCAAATAAATAATATTTCATCATAAATCTTGGCCAAAATGTATTCCGTTATTTTTTTAGTAAAAAAAATAACCCAAATTAGTTTATAACCAAAAAATATAATTTTAAAACATTTTAACATTTTTTAAAACATTTTTTTTTATATTATTATTTATGTTTTTTTTTTTACATACTATCACCCTAGCAGTACTGCGTCACCATGGTGACACTGTACTACTTGTGGGGGGTGATGAAGATTTATTTTTTTTTTACACTGATTGCTTTTACACCCATAAAGGCTGTAAAAGCAATCATTTCTCCTCTCTGTCTGCATTCTTGCAGCCATTGAAAACTACTGTGTGAGCTGTGATTGGTCACAGCTTGTCACCTGGTTCAAGGCTGTTGTGAATGGCCCTGTACCATGTGACCTCTGTGATCATTCACAGATTTCACACGTAGTAAACAATGATGTCAGAAGTTACACTACTACTTACTTACTTACTACTCTGCATGTGATCACTGATTGGCCAATCAGTGATCACATGATCAGGACCTCACACAGAGGTCCCGTCCGACGATCGGTGTTTCACTGTGTCCGGACACAGCGTGCACCGGATCGCGGTGCTGCGCGCTCCCAGGAAGCGCGCTCAAGCAGGGTGCAGGATGGCCATTTATAAACAGCCACCCGCCCCTGCACTGCCAATGACCGGCCGTTTACGTACATGGGGCCGGGACGGGAGGTGGTTAAGAGGAGTGGAGTGAGGGAAGTATCTATAGACCGGTCTGTACTTACAGCTCTCTGAATGGTGACGGCTGCCTTGAATTGTTTCAGTGTTTGTTTTTCGAGGTGGAACTGTCTCCTGGCTTTATACCCCCTCCAGTGCTTCTGAACCATCAGTGCGGAGCTCTCCTGGATTTCCTGCATGTGCTTCTCCATTTGTCCTGCAGAATACAGATGAACACGTGACTTAGGGCTCATGTACACGGGGTGTTTTTAGGGCTCATGTACGCGGGGCGTTTTTAGGGGTCATGCACGCGGGGCGTTTTTAGGGCTCATGCACGCGGGGGTGTTTTTAGGGCTCATGTACGCGGGGCGTTTTTAGGGGTCATGCACGCGGGGCGTTTTTAGGGCTCATGCACGCGGGGTGTTTTTAGGGCTCATGTACGCGCGGGGCGTTTTTAGGGGTCATGCACGCGGGGCGTTTTTAGGGCTCATGCACGCGGGGTGTTTTTAGGGCTCATGTACGCGGGGCGTTTTTAGGGGTCATGCACGCGGGGCGTTGTTAGGGCTCATGCACGCGGGGCGTTGTTAGGGCTCATGCACGCGGGGCGTTGTTAGGGCTCATGCACGCGGGGCGTTGTTAGGGCTCACGCACGCGGGCCGTTTTTTAGGGCTCACGCACGCGGGGCGTTGTTAGGGCTCACGCACGCGGGGCGTTTTTAGGGCTCACGCACACGGGACGTTTTTAGGGCTCACGCACACGCGGGGCGTTTTTAGGGCTCACGCACACGGGACGTTTTTAGGGCTCACGTACATGGGGCGTTTTTAGGGCTCACGCACACGGGACGTTTTTAGGGCTCACGCACATGGGACGTTTTTAGGGCTCACGTACACGGGGCGTTTTTAGGGCTCATGTACACGGGGTGTTTGGGAAACCCTTCTGAACAAATGGAAACGGCTGGAAAACGTAGGTTAAAAAACATCAGTTTAGTCACATTTGCATATTGCGTTTATGCGCGTTTAGAAGCTTTTTTAAAAGATAACTTCAGGAGACCTTCCAAAATGCCCAGAATGCACTGAAAAACAGTAAAAAATTAACTATTTCAGACATTTTGAGAGAAATAGAGAGAGCAGAAGCAGAGAGAGCAGTATGTGCTGAGATGACCCGTCTTTTCTGGTTGTATTCACTATGGATCCCATCATGAGCATAATGCGGCGCATTCTACCATTTTTTCCTTCACGCGAAACCTGGAACTGACTGCGCTGGTGTACCGGGCCCATTTGAATACATGAAAAATGCTTTGCATGCATTTCTGATGATGTAAAAAGTCTCCGGACAGCATCTGGACATGGAACATTTAAAAAAACGCTTCTAAACGCAAATGCTTATAAACGCGGTTAACCACTTTGGACACTTTATTGTCCTCCAGCTGAGACCTTAGCTCCTCTTCATCCTAAAAGGTAAAGTACAGCTGCATGCTTTCAATGATTAACCCAACCACAATCTGTATACAAAGCTGAACTCTGATCCCCCCTTCAGTCTTGCACAGGTGTACCGGCTCCTCCCCTTCAGTCTTGCACAGGTGTACCGGCTCCTCCCCTTCAGTCTTCGCACAGGTGTACCGGCTCCTCCCCTTCAGTCTTGCACAGGTGTACCGGCTCCTCCCCTTCAGTCTTGCACAGGTGTACCGGCTCCCCCCTTCAGTCTTGCACAGGTGTACCGGCTCCTCCCCTTCAGTCTTGCACAGGTGTACCGGCTCCTCCCCTTCAGTGTACCGGCTCCTCCCCTCCAGTCTTGCACAGGTGTACCGGCTCCTCCCCTCCAGTCTTGCACAGGTGTACTGGCTCCTCCCCTCCAGTCTTGCACAGGTGTATTGGCTCCTCCCCTTCAGTCTTGTACAGGTGTACCGGCTCCTCCCCTTCAGTCTTGCACAGGTGTACCGGCTCCTCCCCTTCAGTCTTGTACAGGTGTACTGGCTCCTCCCCTTTAGTCTTGTACAGGTGTAACGGCTCCTCCCTTTCAGTCTTGCACAGGTGTACCGGCTCCTCCCCTTCAGTCTTGCACTGGTGTATTGGCTCCTCCCCTTCAGTCTTGCACAGGTGTACCTGCTCCTCCCCTTCAGTCTTGCACAGGTGTACCGGCTCCTCCCCTTCAGTCTTGCACAGGTGTACCGGCTCCCCCCTTCTGTCTTGCACAGGTGTACCGGCTCCTCCCCTTCAGTCTTGCACAGGTGTACCGGCTCCTCCCCTCCAGTCTTGCACAGGTGTACCGGCTCCTCCCCTCCAGTCTTGTACAGGTGTACTGGCTCCTCCCCTTCAGTCTTGCACAGGTGTACCGGCTCCTCCCCTTCAGTCTTGCACAGGTGTACCGGCTCCTCCCCTTCAGTCTTGTACAGGTGTACTGGCTCCTCCCCTTTAGTCTTGTACAGGTGTAACGGCTCCTCCCTTTCAGTCTTGCACAGGTGTACCGGCTCCTCCCCTTCAGTCTTGCACTGGTGTATTGGCTCCTCCCCTTCAGTCTCGCACAGGTGTACCTGCTCCTCCCCTTCAGTCTTGCACAGGTGTACCGGCTCCTCCCCTTCAGTCTTGCACAGGTGTACCGGCTCCCCCCTTCTGTCTTGCACAGGTGTACCGGCTCCTCCCCTTCAGTCTTGCACAGGTGTACCGGCTCCTCCCCTCCAGTCTTGCACAGGTGTACCGGCTCCTCCCCTCCAGTCTTGCACAGGTGTACTGGCTCCTCCCCTCCAGTCTTGCACAGGTGTATTGGCTCCTCCCCTTCAGTCTTGTACAGGTGTACCGGCTCCTCCCCTTCAGTCTTGCACAGGTGTACCGGCTCCTCCCCTTCAGTCTTGTACAGGTGTACTGGCTCCTCCCCTTTAGTCTTGTACAGGTGTAACGGCTCCTCCCTTTCAGTCTTGCACAGGTGTACCGGCTCCTCCCCTTCAGTCTTGCACTGGTGTATTGGCTCCTCCCCTTCAGTCTTGCACAGGTGTACTGGCTCCTCCCCTTCAGTCTTGCACAGGTGCACTGGCTCCTCTCCTAGACTGAAATATCTTCCTCTGATATCACTGAACACTGTGAGCTTCTCACAAAGTGCATCAGAAGCTGCAGCAAGTCAGATAGAGCTCCGCCTCGGTTCCTGGCTGGAGTACGTCCAGCATCATCTAGATCTTTCCTCCCCAGCCTGAATATCCCTGGCCACCCCTCTGTTTCTTTCAATCGTGGCAGCTCAGCATCAAAAGGGAGCTTTACCTGGAGTGGTTTGTATATATATACAGCCTGCCTAGGAATGCTCACTCCTCAAGACTGACAGCCACCCATCAAGGCATTTTGGATATTTGCATACCTCCTCTCAGACCGGGTTCACATATGATTTCTCAAAGGAGTCCGGTGAGGTTTCGTTCAGCGGTTCAGGTGTGAATTTTTAAAGTGTATTACACTTGAAATTGCACCTGAGCCAGACTGAAGATTGTGCCCGACTCTTTAGAGAACTGGTTTGGTTCCCATATAATGCGAATTGGATGTGGTTCAAAACGCATCCAGTTCACATATATGTGAACCGGGGCCCAAGAGTTAGACCACTGCATGCACCAGGACTGAGGGCTCTTGAGAGGAGTACTGAGTCTGGGTGCTGGGATGTTATCAGGAAGTTATGTACAGTCCCCTGCTGGCCCCTCCCACCAACATGGCCTACCTGGATTGGATAAAGAAGCACAGAGACCCAGTGATGACATCACTAGGTGTAAAATAAAAGTAAATCTTTGCCTATAGGTAGACATGAATAGGTTGAATGAGCTCTTCTTTGCTGGGTAGCAGAGCTGTTTTCTGGGAGATTTGTGTGGCTGTATCAGAGTGCAGTGGGGGTCAGTGATCACCTTTATTAGGGAGCAGTGGGGGTCAGTGATTACCTGTATCAGGGGTCAGTGATTACCTGTATCAGGGAGCAGTGGGGGGTCAGTGATCACCTGTATCAGGGGCCAGTGATTACCTGTATCAGGGGGCAGTGGGGACCAGTGATTACCTGTATCAGGGGGCAGTGGGGGCCAGTGATTGCCTGTATCAGGGAGCAGTGGGGGCCAGTGATTGCCTGTATCAGGGAGCAGTGGGGGCCAGTGATTGCCTGTATCAGGGGCCAGTGATTGCCTGTATCAGGGAGCAGTGGGGGCCAGTGATTACCTGTATCAGGGAGCAGTGGGGGCCAGTGATTGCCTGTATCAGGGAGCAGTGGGGGTCAGTGATTACCTGCATCAGGGAGCAGTGGGGGTCAGTGATTACCTGCATCAGGGAGCAGTCAGGGAGCAGTGGGGGGGGTCAGTGACTACCTGTATTAGGGAGCAGTGGGGGGCCAGTGATTACCTGCATCAGGGAGCAGTGGGGGCCAGTGATTACATGCATCAGGGAGCAGTGGGGGTCAGTGATCACCTGTATCCAGGAGCAGTGGGGGGGCAGTAATTACCTGTATCAGGGAGCAGTGGGGGCCAGTGATTACCTGCATCAGGGAGCAGTGGGGGTCAGTGACTACCTGTATTAGGGAGCAGTGGGGGCCAGTGATTACCTGTATCAGGGAGCAGTGGGGGCCAGTGATTACCTGCATCAGGGAGCAGTGGGGGCCAGTGATTACCTGCATCAGGGAGCAGTGGGGGCCAGTGATTACCTGTATCAGGGAGCAGTGGGGGCCAGTAATTACCTGTATCAGGGAGCAGTGGGGGCCAGTAATTACCTGTATCAGGGAGCAGTGGGGGTCAGTGATTACCTGTATAAGGGAGCAGTGGGGGCCAGTAATTACCTGTATCAGGGAGCAGTGGGGGCCAGTGATTACCTGCATCAGGGAGCAGTGGGGGCCAGTGATTACCTGTATCCGGGAGCAGTGGGGGCCAGTGATTACCTGCATCAGGGAGCAGTGGGGGCCAGTGATTACCTGCATCAGGGAGCAGTGGGGGCCAGTGATTACCTGTATCAGGGAGCAGTGGGGGCCAGTGATTACCTGCATCAGGAGCAGTGGGGGTCAGTGATTACCTGTATAAGGGAGCAGTGGGGGCCAGTAATTACCTGTATCAGGGAGCAGTGGGGGCCAGATATTACCTGCATCAGGGAGCAGTGGGGGTCAGTGATTACCTGTATCAGGGGGCAGTGGGGGCCAGTGATTACCTGTATCAGGGAGCAGTGGGGGTCAGTGATTACCTGCATCAGGGGCAGTGGGGGCCAGTAATTACCTGTATCCGGGAGCAGTGGGGGCCAGTAATTACCTGCATCAGGGGCAGTGGGGGTCAGTGATTACCTGCATCAGGGGCAGTGGGGGCCAGTGATTACCTGTATCAGGGAGCAGTGGGGGCCACTGATTACCTGCATGGACAATCTCCAGCAGAGTGAGCTGCTTCTCCCGGAACATTCTCATAGCTCGGAGTCTCTGCAGGTGCAGTTGTTCCCGCAGTTCCTCTTCCTCTTTCTGTCTCTTCAGTTGAGTCATTTCTTGCTCTCTTTTTGCTCTACAAGTTAATAATTAGAAACAAAATTGACTTTCGAAGGCCTGACTATAAGTCCATTTCATACCATAGATTAGTCAGTTTAACTTTCTAGGTGATTTCTATATCAGTTTGAGAATGTTCAGATTGAAGCATCATCATTAATACTGGTTTGTTTCCTGTGTGAGATAAAAGGTACGTACAGTGATCTGCCACACTCGGGTACAAACAGACGTATACCCATGATAAGGTAGGGCTCATTATCTGGATTAGCAGAACAAAGTATATATATTCTTGTTGCCCACGTCCTCTGACATAACTTAACCCCCCCCCCGCCCTCTCTCTCTCTCTCTCTCTCTCTCTACAGATGCACACTTTCCTCGATCCGATGGCCATGGTGTCTCTGTTTGTTTACATCCAGCCCCACAAATCTTCACTGTCCTGGCCGTGCCGGTGTATTAGTGCTGCATAGATTTCTATGGGGCTGTTAATCAAGGCCAGAAATGAACAGAGATGATCTAATTGAAGAATAGGGACTGTAAGACACAGACACAGCCAGGAGAGTGAGAATTTTGGAGCTAGTAGATGTAAACAAAGAGAACCATGACAGAAAAAGAGAACTATGCATCTGCGGAGGAGGAGGGTGGATTAGGTTAGGTTAGGTCAAGGGAAAATAGGATAAGTGCACTTATAGGGCCAATTCACACTGACTTATGCTAGAATATGAAAAATGGATATACATTTCAATCCTTTTTAGTCGCGCGATGACGTCTGTTGACATACATTTTGACATCCGTTGTTGTACGTTTTGACATCTGTTGACATGCATTTTAGCACGCATTCAAGTGTACTACATTTTCACAGGATATCCTGTCCATTGCGTTGACATCCACTTACATCCGTTGAGTTGAGCTAAAATGCATACATGTTACATTTTAGCGCAACGCAGGTCAATGCAGCGTTATGGTTTGAATAGGATACAGTGGAAGTCATTGTTTTTCAGATGTCCTTCCGTTTTAGCGCAGATCAACGCACTGGTGTGAATTGGCCCTTAATGTCACGTGCCCGATGAAGGGGTCCTGCCAGGCTCCAAAACATTGCTATTTTCTGTAACAATGTGATCGTGAATAAATCTTTGGACCCGTTCTGGAGATCCATGGTGCGCTGGTTACATTTTCTCACTCCCACTTATTTTTTTAAAGTGCACCCCACCTTTAATAGATCCAAATCTTAAATAGATAACATCTAGTTTGCTCTATTATAAACAATATTTTTTTTCCTGGAAAAAACGTTTTGCACCTTATTTAAATTTTTGGTTCCCCATCTACTGCTGCAATCAGCAATTTCCTAATTATGGGCACTCACTCCAGTGTGAGCTGCACTTCAGGGTTACGGACTGGTAAACCGATTGTGACAATGGGTGTTCTATGCCAATTCAATGTGGGGCAGATTGTGGTCTCCACCAGGGGAGCATGTGCCATGCTGACAACCCAGGAGCACGATTGGGAAACATGGATCCCATAACAGGAAGTGCCTGAATAAGGACTGACATGGCAGGGTCATCAGGTATTATTATAATGAAAGCTACATCAGTTTTAGGAAGGACTTGTGAGAGCGGATATGCCAGAGACAAGTGAAGATGTCATACCGGCAGGGCGCTCTGAACATCCCGGCATGGCCAAGATGCCTTGAATAGGATTACGAAAGAGCATGCACAAGTGAAGTCACCAGGAATAAAAATATGTCTCATGAATGGAATGGCTTGGGAGGACTTGGATGCTATAAACCAGTAATTATTATTATTATACAGTATTTATAAAGCGCCAATAGTTCGCTCAGCGCTGTACATCACAAAGGGGGACAGAACATGTGACAGAACAACAACAATACAATGCAAAACATGAGGGGATCGAGGGCCCTGCTCCTTTGAGCTTACAATCTTGGAGGGAGGGGATGGTGGCACAGGAGGAGATAGCTGTGGGGGATGGAGTGGTAGGAAGAGTGGAGGAGGTCGGCAAGTTAGCAGGGGGTGGGGTAGGCTTCCCTGAAGAGATGGGTTTTCAGGGTGCGCCTAAAGGAGAGGAGAGTAGGTGATAATCTGATGGGTTGGGTCAGGGAGTTCCAGAGGATGGGTGACACCCTGGAGAAGTCCTGGAGGCGGGCATGGGAGGAGGAGACCAGGGAACTAGAGAGAAGGAGGTCTTGTGAGGAGCGGAGTGTGCGTGTTGGGCAGTACTTGGATATTAGGTCAGTGATGTAGTTCGGGGCAGTATGGTGGACGGCTTTGTACGTCAGTGTTAGGATTTTGAATTTGATCCGTTGCGCAATCAGAAGCCAGTGGAGGGATTGGCAGAGG